TCTAAACATAAAAATAATGTTCAGCTCCATTAGACATTATAAAATACTCTTTAAATTTCATTCATTTTAACAAAAAGTTAAAATTCGGACAGAACTTATGGGATGACCTGATATATTGTTCTCTTTACTTAATAATGTTTTCTTTTTCTCATATACTCTCACACTCAGTAACCCCTTGCTTCATTAGTCACTTGTTTGGGGAAAAATGATTAAAAAAAAAAGTTAAAGTGATACTTCCACCTTCACCTAAACTCTAAAATATTTAATCTTTTTTTTTTCTCTTACTTATTTTTAATTATGATGTGATGGAATAACCTGTCACCCCTTGAGGTATAGGTAGTAACTACTTATAAGTATCTGAAAGTCAACAGACTACAGATACTAGCCGAAATCTTTTTCGGCTGGCTGGTCAAACTCTCTGCCACTGAGCAGAGAGGAACCTGGACAAGGTTCTGCCAAATGGCAGAGTCTTGTTTGGGGTGGTTGACCAACCCAATCCCATTTATGTGAGTTCTACAGGGATTTTTTGCCTGAGCATACGGGCCCGGAGACCCCACGTTAAATTCAGCCTTGTGCCACATGTGACTGCATGAGGCAGTTGCTAAATACACTAGCTGGAATCTGTTCCAGCTCTGCTGGTCAAACTCTCTGCCTTTGGGCAGAGAGGAACCCAGACAAGGCTATGCCGAAGGGCAGAATCTCATTTGGGGAGATAGACTGGCCCGATCCCATTTATGTGGGTTCTACGGGGAATTTTTGGCCAAGCCTAAGGGCTTGGATGCCCCACGTTAAACTCGGCCTTGTGCCACATCTACCCTCGTGGGTGCTAGTAAATATTGACTAGCTGGAATCTGTTGAGTACGACTCAGACTTACACGAGGATTACTGACCTTCCAATAGTAGCACTCACTACTGGATTGACTTGCGACAATCATGCACATAACTGTTACCTTATTTCTTTTTGCACTGGTTATTACAATAAACCTTTACTTATTTTATCCACCTTGTTTTTCAAGTATATATTCCTATTAGATCGGAATATTAAAATTTATTTACTTTTTTCATGAGGAGTAGATACTTTCACCTATTGCCCTGTTCACACTCCTTCCCTGTCTTTTGAACAGGAGTAGAGGTGTATCTCTTGTTTCCTGTTTAGGATTGGGTTTCCAGTCCCTTGTAAAGTCTTCTCATTCTCTTTCACTCCCAGTAACCCTTTGGATCTTAGTGGCATTATTGTCTTGCTTGGGGTGAAGTGATTAAAAAATATGTTTAAAGAAGGAGATATCATTAGTTTCAGTTCTCAGATGAGTTCTACATTTGCTACGTCTATTTACTCATTCCAAGGAAGCAACTTGTAAATTGTATGGTACAGTAAGAGTTCACAACTTCTCCCATAACATGTAAATAGGCCTGTGAAAGCTCTAATGATACATCTTGTAAACTACTTACACCTACCATGTCTTTTCACAAATCACCATCTTGGTAAATATACTGGGCATGTGAAAGAAAATATAGCATGTACTATTATATTTATTCATGCCTAGCAGCTTAAACTTGCTTTTGAAATTTGGTATAGATAATCTATCTGTGACATTAAGGATATGCCTTCAGCTTTTTACTCATTAAAATGTAGATAGCAATTCATTCTATGAATACTTCTTTTTATCTCTTATTGATGCCTATAAATGTGCTTATATATTGATTCTCTTGAGATGGAAAAAGAGAAGTTTAAAAATAGTGAAAATGTACAAAGAAAAGACTGAAAAATAAATATGGTCAAAAGCTATTGGTATTTACACTATGTCAGATGTTATGTAAGTCAATGTCTTCAAAATAAATTTGAAATTGGTATTATTAACTGACCAATGTTGGTAAAATGTTCAAGATATATATATATATTTTTTAAATTGGTATCATCTCATGCAAGGCAGTAAAGCCACTAAGACACAAGGGGTTACAGGGTGTGGAAGAATTAGGAATAAAATCATTAATAATGAGCAGGAAAAACAAAGAGTAATCAGGAGAACAGTAGATAACAATTGGCATTGCATTTTAATTTTTGCAGATTGAAGTTGGCTGGAAAGCATGGAACCAGAGGAGAGTTCCACAAGTGAGAAGTGTGACAAATGAAACTGCTAGCATAGAACTTATGGTTACATCTAGCCAGATCAACCCTAAATTGATGAGATCAATTGACACCAGTCTAGTACTGTGCTTATATTAAAAAAGTCTAGGTACAATAGTGAAGAGCTCATCCAAACAATTACCATGAAAGTAGAAAGACCACAGAGAGGCAACCTTACAGTAGTGGGAAAGTGACTGAAATTGAACTGCCAGATCAGGACTAATAATATTGCTGATTCTTTGAATTATATCAAGGAGCATATGTGGCAGCAATATTCTAAGCATGGAGGAATGGTAGACTTATAGATATGTGAGATAGATTCTGTAGAAAAAAATTGTCTCACACAACACAGTGAACTAACTTTATTAACAGCTGACCTAGTATAGTTTATACCATAAATAAACCATGTGAATTTCAGCTTATATGTTTTTATTAGAAATAACATATTTGGTGTTATAAGATTCTATTCTGCCACAGAAGAATTCTTCCTTATATTGTTTTTTATGACTGGTTCATTTTCTATGGCTTATCAAGACATTGCAGATTATTTAGAACCAGAAAATATTTTTAGACTGTAAGAATTTATTTTGGAGATAATAATGATTTAGCAATACAAATCTTACTAATTAACCCATAGTTAGAGGGAGAAAAGGTGGATTCATACCTTTCCCAAGGGTATTTGCATGTAAGTGAATATAACAAACCCAACAGGAACTGTAACTTGGCTCTATTCTGCCACAGAAGAATTCTTCCTTATATTGTTTTTTTATGACTGATTCATTTTCTATGGCTTTTCAAGACATTGCAGATTATTTAAAACCAGAAAATATTTTGAGACTGTAAGAATTTATTTTGGAGATAATAATGATTTAGCAATACAAATCTTACTAATTAACTCATAGTTAGAGGGAGAAAAGGTGGATTCATACCTTTCCCAAGCGTATTTGCATGTAACAATTCCAAAGCATTATCCATTACACCACCCACACATCCAAACTTACATCACCTAGTATTCCCAAATGGTCACCCATCTAGGTACTAACCAGGTTTGATGTTGCTTAATTTTGATGTTTCAACATGATATAGCTGTAAGCCTCCTCATATTGTAAATAAATATACATGTATGTATAATAGTAAAGTTATTGATATTTATTTTTTTAATTTCAGAGATATAAAAAATGCCATGGATCATAAGAGAAATAAGATATTGCAATATTACTGAGTGATAGGAATACAAATTTGGAAATTAATAAAAAATTAAATGGGTGCATCTAAAAAGAAATTGGAAACACTGGCAAGATAAAACAAGTCAATATTTACACAATGAAATTGGTATTTACTGAACAATATTGTTAAAGTTTTCAGTATACACTTATATTTATATGATAAATATATTGTGTGAATTTTTATTAGAAACATTTAAAATATCTTGTTTGGTGGTGTGAGATTTTATTATGCAACTAAAGGTATATCATAGTATAGTTATTGATATCTATTTTCTTATTTCAAATATATAAGGATTGTCATGGCTCATAAGAATTAATTAACTTCAAAAGAGAAACAAGCATTGTAAAGTTATTGAATAATGGAAACAATATTATAAATAACAGACATTATAAAACAATCAAAAAAGAAATTACAAACATTAGCAAGGACAAAAAATAAATTGGCTTTGAAAGTCTTACTAAAAGAGATTTGAGAAAAATTAAGAGTAATGAACAAAAAAATGTGCATTGACCAGCAAAAAATATTTTTGTGACATTTTCAAGCTAATTAGAATACTAATTTGATGAAAGGTTGACTAATACACTGTCAGATTTTATTATGCAAGTCCTTGTTTTCACAATAACATTAGTATTAACCAACTGATATTGATAACATTTTTGAAGATATATTTGCATAATAAATTTAAATGTGTTAATTTTAGCTTATCTGTTTTTATTAGAAATATTTGCAATAACTTATTTGGTCATATGAGATTTTCTTATGCAACTCAGGGGTTATTTATCATATTGTAAATAATTATATAGTATAGTTATTGATATTTATTTTCTTATTTCAAATATATAAATATTGCCATGGCTCATAATAGCAAACAAAAGACAAGAAGTTATGAAGGGCCATGATTGCTCATAATTCAAAAGAGAAACAAGTATTGTAGTAAAGTTATTCAGTAATGAAAACACATTATAAATTTAGATTATAGGAAAATCATAAAAGAAATTAAAAACATTAGCAAGAAAAGGATAAAAACAACTGGCTTTAAAAATCATACTGTTATACCAGAACATTACCTATTCTATTGTAATAGACTCTCCCACAGATAATAAGTAGTAGTAGCAGAGGCCAGTTGAGCTCAGTGGTGTTGAGTGAGTCAGTCGATGTCGGACATTGAAGTATCAACCATCACAACTAGATTGCTGCGTCATTAACTCTTATTTCAAGTTCCTAACGTTTTGTACGTTGAACCTAATTTAGGACGACTTAGTTGAAAATACAAGCCTCCACTGTGAAAACTACTCTACAACACATACTTAAAGAGATTTGAGAAAAATTACAAGATCAGTATTTAAAGAAGCCAGTGTTGCCTTAACTGGTTTTAAACCAAGCATGTAAAAAAGTATAATTTAAAATGTTCATCATGCTAAAATAAATGTGCAACTTTTAGCATACAAATAACTGATGTCAATATTGATCTATCAAAAATTCATAATAAATATCTAGAAATTTCCTTGAAGAATGGTAATTGTTTTCAGACTAAACATAACAAATTTCTTATCCCATTGAGTCAATCACTTTCTTAAACAACAGGTAAGGCTCACAAAGTATTATGTGAATTTGACCATGCAAAAAAACTTAATGGCTTATGGACACATCATGTTGAAATACCAATTTCCATATGATCACTGAAATTAAGCAACATCAAGCTGGGTCAGTACCTAGATGGGTGACTGTTTGGGAATATTAAGTGCTGCAAGCTTGAATATGCAAGTAGTGTAATGGATTATGGCTTTAATCAGAGAGCCAAGTTCCAATTCTCATTGAGTTCACTTATGTGCAAATACCCTTAGGAAAGGTATGTATTCACTTCTTCTCCCCCCAGCTATGGACTAATTAATAAGATTTATATCACTAAACCATTACTATCTAAAAAAAATGCTTACAATCTAAAAACATTTAAAGGCTTTAAATAACCTGCAAATTGTTGATAAGGCTTAGAAAACAAATTAATCAATCAAAAAAAAAAACTTACTCAGTTTTAGGTAGGCTAGAGACTGTGTTTGTTCCTTAATACAGACTCAATTTTGAAATTTTAAGTCAATAAAATTTATCTTTGTCCCTTAATTATATTTCATCATCATCATTAGTCCCATGATCATATATGTGCACCTTATCAGCTCCTTCCACATACCTCAGTTGGTATTCATTCAAGTGTACCATGTCTTAGGCAGAGTCAACATGGTGGAAATTATCCCTTTCCAGGTCAGACCGCAGACGGTATCCTTCATCTTGATCATAGACATATAGCCATTGATTCTACTGGGAGAACCCTCTGCCTTGGCCTTTGATTTCAGACAAGGAAGCTCTTCACCCAGCAATGCTGTGTCATCACCACCCTGGATGTATTGCCAGTAGTTCAGTTCTGTGTGAAAATTTAGCCTACAGTCAATTGAAGCTCACTATAGTTAGTCTCTCGATTGAACTCCCTAGTGGTGAGAACTTTGGAACCACTACATATGGAGTAGTCTGTATAGTTACATTTAGGCTTAACATAATTTCCAAACCTCAAATCAGGATTGTTTTCAATGTTTATTATGGATTTAGGTTTCTTCTATCATAAAGAAAAAAAAAAGAGGGTGGGGGGTTATATCATTGCTGGAACAAATTCCTCAAGCCAAGACAGTCCTGACTAAACCAGAATGTATGGTTAGCATAATTTTATATATAATTATATATGATAGGCTAAGGAACAAATAGAAAAGGTTTACAAATTTAATATTGAAAATGAAATACGGATGAGAAAAGAAAATTATGGTATTTTTTATTTTTGTGTTGTTTGTTTTTTATTGGTTAAGTAGACTGTGTGTTATATAAGAATAAAGTGTCACTACCAACACTGGAATTTGAACACAGATCACCAGAGAGCAAGCACGGGCGATCCCATTTTAAATAAGTAGATCACATGATGGTAAAGGAAATGTATATATGGGAATTAGCATGGCATCTAAGTGATCACTATATGGATTACTATTCGGATCACTATTCGGTGGTTACTTTTCGAGTGAGTATTATCAATCAAGTACTATTAGTGTGAGTGTTATTTGAAGGCATCTGACACCAGTATTGTTCAACAGCATTACTTTAGTTGTATCTGTGATTACAAAGTCTCTGCTACAAGCATTACGAAAGTGACAACGAGTATTCGTTGACATTACAAAAGTGGCAACAAGTGGTCATTGACATCACAAAACCGTGTATTTATTTCATCAGGTAGCATTCGTGTGTATAATTCTTGTGTGTTTGTCTCTCAAAAAATATAAAAAGTTTCTTTTCTATTCAATATTCCATTTCTGATGAAGCTTAAATAAAAGCGAAACATGTTAAATTTATAAACATTTCCTGTCATTCTGTTATATATATATATAAATAAATAAATAAATAACAGTGGAGTAATGGATAGTAGCTTGGATTGAGGAATCGGAGAGCAGAGTTCAAATTCCAGTCGAATCCATTGCATTCACTTACGTCCTAATACCCTTGGGAAAGGTGTGAATCCTCTTCTTCTCCCTCCATTTATGGGTAAATAGCAGGACAGACTGGGTTCTATAGCCTTGGATGGCAACTGGTCTAGGAGGACAACTCTGAATTCAAAACCTGCGGAGGGTCATTTGGGAACCTTGTGGCATGTAGTGCACCAGGTTTCTGTATTTGGCCCTTCAAAAAGTGTGGATGGTCCTGCACAAAACCTTCGCCACTATAATCAAATCTCATGTGCTGTTGTTGGGCTGTCACTTTCCTAGGAACTGATCAGCTTGACCCTCGTACGTCAAATTCGATGAGAGAGTTGAGTATATATATATATAATAGAGCAATTTTCTCAATAAATTTGTACTAATTTCTTCTCACTGACAATTCCTTACTTCCTCATTTTCAATTCAATATATTCCTATGGAGACTGTTCTGAAAGAAATGATGAAAACTATGTTTTAGTGTTAATTATTTTCATGGCCAAATTCCATGAACTTTTAGGTAGAATTTTATAATTTTTGAGCTTTATATATTTTTTCAAGATGTAGACTGATCAAATAGGATAGGAAATAGTTTATTTCTTGTCTAAAATGAGTTACCATTCTTCAAGACAATTTCTAGATATTTATTTATGTATTTATTTTTGAGAGATGACAATTTACATATCGGATTTGTGTGCCAAAATTGAGTTCTGAATCCTACTAAAAGATTTGGGTAAAAATTGCATAATTTGTTTCCTGATCATCAATTTTTCCCTTCTAGCTATAAATATTTAGTTTGTTAATGTAGAAAATAACTGTGACTAAGCAGGATAATGGTGGAAAAGCATTGAAATCAGTGGGAAGGGATAAGAAAAGCTAAAATCTTGCCTGAATTAAAATACATTCAACACTAACATGTAACTGTGATTATTTCCATTTTTTCCCCTTCTACTGCCAGAGTTTGTTGTCATTATATATTTAATTTAATCATTAGCGTGAATGAAAATTTAGACATATTTGTTTAATCCAGCCAGTAGACAAGAAAAATGCAAACTATTAAGTGATAGGAAATTTTCATTAGAAGCAAAGAAAGATGTGCTGAACTGCAATGTAATATCTAATATCTGATATGACAGTGAATGCTGAACAATCTCTTCACAGATGAAGAAAATACTTGAAGCAACCAAGATTGAGTTCTACTAATTAACATTATGGAAGAGCATGTAAGAAATAAAGTTGTTTAAGTAAAATAGGAACTCCAAAGAAATGGATACTGACAATCAGAGAGACAGCTAATAAGAAAGCCTAGAGAATTCAACACTCATCAGACATAGTGAAAGCTTAACAAGTTTGAATGAATTGATAGCAAAGACAAAGAGGAATAGTAAAGCGTCAAAAGTTGATTAGAGCAAACAAAAAACAAAAAGTTGTGAAGATCCATGATTGCCCAAGACAGGCCACAGTCAGTGTGCATTTTTACAGTAAAATAACTTGCAATGAATTTCTATTTATGCATTTTGTATTTCCTTTTCATGTAATCTTTAGAGTGAATGAAAAAAAATTTTTTTTTTTTTACTATAGATTAACTAATACATGGCTGACGGTACAGGGTTACTGAATGAGAGGATTTGATTGATAGAGATTTTTTATGGCTTATCAACCTTCTCCAGGTTATTTAAAGCCAGAAAATATTTCTAGATTGTGGGAATTTTTTGGCAATAATAATGATTTACTGATACAAGTTCTACTAATTAACCTATAGCTGGGGAGAGAAGAAGTGGCTTCATACCTTTCCCAAGTGTATATAATGAACCTGACTAAAATTGGAACTCGGTACATTTTGTATTATCATACAGATAAATATTACTCTCCGATTTCCAATTCCAAGCCATTATTCATTACACCACCCACACATCCAAGTTTCCAGCACCTGGTATTCCCAAGCATTCACATATCTAGGTACTGACCAGGCCTGATGTTGCTTAACTTCAGTGATCATACGAGACCTGGTGTTTCAGTGTGATATGGCCATAAACCAAATATAAGAAGAGGATGTAGGAAGTGAAGATTATGAGGATATGGCAGATAGATTACACCTGACCTAAACAAAAAGGTTAAGATCATAGTGTTCAAGGAAGAATCTACATGAGAGTCTGCTCCACAAAGTAATGGTTCTCAGGAAGAAGCTTTCATAGCAGAACTCTCTTCTTACCAAAGGAATACATAGAAAATAAGTGTGATTCAACCCTGTGGACATACTAAGGTTCATTTTGGTTATAATGGTGTGAGCTGGTGGCACTCGAGCTTGTATGAATATTTGCCATGTAATTAGTTATAGAGTCATGATAGGGCTGTGTTTTGTGTTATTACATTTGTAGGATGGAAAATAAGTCCCCCTGCCCAAACAAGTTCATGTAAATGATTTTGAACGTAGACAAAGCTGGAAAGTGAAGCTTAGGTAGCTCCAGCCCAGATATTTTGAAGAAACTTTGATGTATTTATTAAATAAGACCTTTTTATCAAATAAAAATAATGTATGCTTCACTTTGATCTTAGAAAACTGTTTGAGAAATAAAATCAAACTTTATTCAATCAGTAATGCAAAATTATATTTCTCAAATAGTTTTTAACAAATTGTTTGAACCAATAGATTGTTGTTGTTTTTTTAATTTGTCAATTGTTTTAACTTTAACTGCTTTAAAGAAAAACATGAACAAACATTCATCTGTTTTGTAGCCAAGCTTTATTCAATAGTTAGACTATTGCCTGACCATTTCTTTTATAGTCAAGTAATTCAAGGGGAGATAACTATGGTTGCCTGCCATCACCACTGTAATGCTAAAAACGAATCCATGAAAATAAAAACAATAACATCTAATGAGGAATTTGAAACCTATATTATCCCAGACATCATTGAATAACCTTGCTAACGGATAATAAATCATGTTTGTTCTGTGCTATTTGTTGTCAATTAAAGCCAATGAACAGTTTCTATATAAGTCATAAAATAAATAGTACATAAAAAAGCAAAAAAGCAAGCATGCAATGTGTAAATTTTTAGAAAATTGCTTTTAAAAGCATAGCATAGACATGGAAAAAAAAGTGTAGCCCTTGGGAATGCCAGTCATGGAGTAACTAAATCCTGCCCAAAACACATGGTAATCACTAATGGACAAACACCTTATCACTAAACAACTCTTCTGATAAAATTTTCCAGCCAGGAACACCAACTGATTAAAAGAGATAACATGTTCATGCAAGCATCTAAAAAATAACAAATTGAATTGACCATTGCATTAAAAAATGAAAAAGAAAAATAATGCAAAACCCAGGCAAATTCTTCAACTTTTATCAAACATTGGGTTAAAAATACCAAAAGCACTACAGTTTTATAAACACAACTACATTTAGAATCTATTGTTATGTTTTTATTTATTTTAAGTGAAAATAACAAGAGTGAAGATAAAAAAAGAATTTATAAGCAGCCTAAATTAATTAGAAGTGTATTTATAGATAAAGTTTCTAATTTTTCTTCTTTTATTTAAGATAATGACATGGTTATTTTGGCTTTTGAGATTAAAATGGACATTAATTTTATTTCTTTTTAATTCATTTATTTTTTATATTGAAAAGACGGATGTCAAAAATCCAGGTTCCATAAATGTATAATTCTAACCAAATTTTCTTTCTTGGGCTTTCAAGCCAAAATCAAAATGTCAAATTTGTTGCCTTTAGTTCAAGGGCCTAAAAGAGGTACATCCCCTGGGAGGTAAAGGAGGTCAAGAAATTTGCAGGGATCTCAGAAAATGTTTTCATAGACTGGAGACTAGCAGTCAAATTTTGTGTGAGTTGTAGGGGGTAAAAACTAGATAATTAATCGAGAAGGAAAGGTACCCTAACACCCCAGAAAATAAACAAACAAAAAAAAACTTTGTACTCTCTGATAAAATTCTCTTAGAGGCCTTGAATTTAAAATGGCTTTCATACAGTATTTCATATTCTAAAAATGTTAATGAAATGGGTTAATTCAAAAGAATTGAGCCATTATTCACCCTCCATTAGTAGTATGGAGCATTACCACAGCATTAGTAACATGGGTTTTTTAAATACACCATTTAAAATATTGTAGATATATCATTTGGCACCTAAATTTCTTGTTATATATTCTCTTATGTTTCTGTCTGACTTTCTGGGATGAAGAGTTATCATTATGTTATACTTTGCCTCAAATTAGATCTCTTTCTTATTCACACTGCATTAAAAGCTGTCAGCTGGATGTGAATGCTAAGAAAGCAAAAATAAAAATAAAAAAAGTTGTATCTGTGCAGGGACTCCGAGTTTCCCATCCAACTCACAACAAATCCCTTCAGAAAAAAAAAATACAATTTAAAAGGAGCCAATTATGAATGTTGCTGCAAAAGCTAAAGGCATGACAAAAAAACGCTGACCTGTCTTGGGTATGACGATAAACTACATCTACATCCTGGGTAAAACGATAAACTAGGTCGAACTGCTAGGCCTCTGTTCAGGAGGTTTTGAGGAACATGGAACCACCTCTTAATTGTTGGTATTCCCAGGTCCACCCTGACCTGGAGTGGTAGTACCTGTTAGGGTCCCAGCTATGGGCAAATAGTTAATCCCCAAACTGGGGTCAAAACTTTATAAAAGTGTAAAAATAGGTTTTAATACCAGAAATACTTTTTAAAAATAAATTATTACCAGCAATAAATTTTTGAAGAAAAAAATTACCACCTATACATTTCTGAAAAAAAATATTACCAGAAATAGATTTTTTGAAGAAAAAAATATTACCAGCAATACATTTTTGAAAAAAAAAAAAAAAATTTTCAGCAATAAAAATTTGTCGGCATTAAATAACCCATTGAGGTTGATATGCCGTGAAACAAACCAAACCAAACCAAAACCACCGAGTCATGATCCACCTAGTCTGCTTTTAAGAATGTCGCTTACGACACTGTCAGAGAGTAGCAGGCAAGCCGTCAAAATCACCATCAGTGACCACAGTCAACTGACCCGACACACATCAACTCCAGCCTATTCTTTCACCTACAAACAGACATTCTGCCTTGATCCTCTATATCAGCAATACAAAGAATTTTATCTTGTCTTCTTTTCTTTCTATCTCACCAGTAGTACTTGTTTCATTTGTTCTCTCATGCTAACATATACAAGTTTATAACATTATTTACACACAGACTATTGTCCTCAATTTTGTTGCTGTGATAACAACAAAGATGAGGACAACAATGAGGATAACAACAACAAAGATGAGGAGAACAATCCACATGTAAATAATGTAAATATTGTCTTGAGTGTTCTTTCTGGATTTTATAGGATAAATAAAAAGGACAAATAACAAATTGTTTTATTTTGAAAAATCAAATTAAAAGGCCAGTATTAAAAAGTGAATTTACATGTTTAAAATCTTCAAATATATAGGTTTCATTTTATTTTCGGTATTATCTTTTAAAACAATTTATGATCAGTTTAACTCCTCTTCAACTATTATTTTCCATATTCTAAACAATGAACAAGATGTCTACTGTCATCATTGTATATGCTTCTACCATAATTATTACATAGTCCTTGCTTTACAATATTGCGCTTGTAATTCACACATCCTTAAGCTGGCAACAATTTTTATTGAAGAATCTTTTACTGTTTTTCTTTTTGAAAACATACTATTTTTTTCTATTTTACTTTTAATGTTTTTCTTTAAAATTTGTTCTCAATTACCTGGCATAGGTAAATCTTAGAGAAAATATGCACTTTCTGATATTTTTCTCTAATAAGCTTTCTCAAATATTCAGGCTGTTTAAAAAAATAAATAAATATAGTATTTAATATATAAATGGAGCATCTACTGAAATATGAGTATCCATTGAGAATAATGTTTAAGTAATAAAAATCTGTCTGATTAATAAATAAAAAATCCACCCCTTTCTTTACAAAAATATATTGGGTTTGTGCATAATTATCAGTCGTTTTTGTAGGTGAGTTATTTGTTAATAAAAATTGCTGTTTTGTTTACTTTTTTTAATAAAAATATTATTTTATTTTCAGGTTAGGAAAATGTGTGTTGATAATCATTTAAAAATGTTATTGTTGAATAGTTATGTTTCTTTTTTCATAATATTGTTTAAAAACGCCTGATAATTATGAACCAGCCCAGTATGTTTATATACAGAATTATATACTAATTTACCTGTTTAATAAAAATATTATTTTATTTTCAGGTTATAAAAATGCGTTTTGATAATCATATGCTCTAGAATAATCATTTAAAAATATTATTATTGAATTGTTATGTTTCTTTTTTCATAATAAATATTGTTTAAAAACGCCTGATAATTATGCACCAACCCACTATATGTGTATGTAAAAATTCAGACATAGTTAAAAATATATCTTTAAAAAGACAATATCAATAAAAGCAAAAAGAAAACTTATCTTAGCAGATGTGTTTCGTCCACTGATGGACTTTATCATGGCAAATGTAAGGATTTTATTTTGCACAAGTATTTATAAACAGAAGTAAAGATGTTAGTTTTTCAGAATTTTTAAATTCAAGAATGCTCATAAAAATACATCAGGCAAACTGAAAGTCAAAGTAAATTATAAAGGATGCAAGCGATGCCATTTAATGTCTCATAAGCAAGTGAGGAAATATTGTTATTGTTGTTTATTTTATAAAGTAATTATTATTTCTATTATTTTAGTTTGAAATTAATTTATGTATTATTTATTTTAAATAATAGAAGGTTTAGAATTGAACCATTTTCTTTTAATTTTTTCAAAATGAAAAAAATTTAATGGCAGTTGAAGTGTGTGTGCCTATTGAAAATGATTGGAATAAACTTTCAAATTTAAAATTTCAGTCTGATTAAAATATACAAACATCTACATCACTGTGCACAATTAAGTAATAATATCAATTTTGATTTAACTATAAATATATCTGATTGCCAACATCGTACTTATATAAATCGTTTTTTCATAGGTTCTTGATTTG